AGAGAGAGAGAGAGAGAGAGAGAGATGTACTTTGACTTCATACAGGTGCTGCATGGCTGTCGCCAGCTCGTGTCGTGAGATGTTGGGTTAAGTCCTATAACGAGCGCAACCCTCGTTTTGTCGCAACGATGTGCTGCACTCACAAAAAACTGCCAGTGATATACTGGAGGAAGGTGGGGATGACGTCAAGTCCGCATGGCCCTTATGGGCTGGGCTACACACGTGCTACAATGGCAATGACAGGAGGGCAGAGACTCACCTCTGACCCCTACCCATTTTAGGTTTTGCTTTAACTGAAGCTATTGCTTTATTCGGCAGGCTCGTCCGATTGTGCACGTAGGTGGCCTAGGGCAGGTACGCCCAACAGTGCAGGCAGGTCACTTAGGTGGGCCAGCATGACTTCTTTTTTCCTATTTTCTTTTTTCACCGCCTGACACTTCACGGCTGCAGAAAGCATCCAAATCCATGCACCCTCCTCTCAACCGGAAAGAGACCCCGCACCCTTAAGTAAAAAGGACGAATGAACCTACCCCACAAACAGACCCAAGCACATTGATCAAATCACAGACCTTTACACAACACCGCACATAAACCCGGCCCATATCTGAACCAAACGCATCGACAACTGGCCACTCACCTTCTTTTTTTTTTTCTTTTTTTTTTTCCGACCATTTCTCGATTTATGCGTGTCATCCTTGCACAGGGGCCATGCTAATCTTCTCTGTATCGTTCCAATTTTAACAGATGTCCCGAAGCTCAACAGCACGGATCTCCTGACACAAAGGGTGTCGCTCCACTACGCAACACTGCACACCCGGCCCCATACCTCGACCAGATGCATCGAAAAGGGGCCACTCGCCAGGATGCAACAAAAGGCACCGCACATGCATCCCGTCCTATATCTTGACCACATTCATCGTAAACAGGCCTCTCACCAGAGCGCACTCCAGTACACAACACTGCCCCCTTCTCTCGACCACATGCACCGGAAACGGCCCATATCTGAACCAGATGCATCGACAACTGGCCACTCACCTTCTTTTTTTTTTTTTTCGACCATTTCTCGATTTATGCGTGTCATCCTTGCGCAGAGGCCATGCTAATTTTCTCTGTATCATTTGTCTCTCCACTACGCAACACCGCACATACACCTGGCCCCATACCTCGACCAGATGCATCGAAAAGAGGCCACTCGCCAGGACGCAACAAAAGGCACCGCACATGCATCCTGTCCTATATCTCGACCACATGCATTGAAAACAGGCCTCTTGCCAGAACGCGCTCCAGTACACAACACTGCCCCCTTCTCTCGACCACATGCACCGGAAACGGCCCACTCGCCAGAACACACTGTAAATCACGCCCGAAAACGAAATTGCGTGTCAGAGCGTCTTGCCCGTTTAGGGAACTTGTACCCACACCCTCTCAAAATTCTTCATCGTGTTCCTCCTTTTGGCAAGTTTCCTCTACACGGTGTCTGACATCCTGGCACGGCGGTGATTCGACAGTCTCCAGCCGGAATGCACCTGGCGCAGAAAGCATCTAAATCCATGTACGGTGCTGTGCAGCGGAGGGAGGTTCCACAAACAGTAACTTCCGCAACTCACGGGCAACTCATTCGATAGTGGGAGATCTACAACACCAACACAATACAAAGAGAATTAAGGAACAAAAGAAAAACAAAGAGAGCACACACGCGTCGAACCCACAGCACCTGAAAAAGCTGACGTGCCGCAAAAGTAGAGCGCGCAAAACTGTTAGAAGATCCGGTTTCCAGCAATTCCATCCGCACAGATCAGGATCCGATGGCCAAAACGTAAAAGAAAAGAACCGGCTCGAAGCGCAGCGTCATGCCCAGGTCGACTAAGCTTTAGTAGTATGTTGTTGATATACATATATTTTTTTATCGCTCACCGACCTTCTTCCTTGTCAGCACCCCGCTCAGGGTGGATGCAGCGGGAACCAGCTTCGATGATCCAAGGACTCGTCGAGTTCCACCTCGCATACATCAATGAAGATTCGCCTGAGAGTTCACACGTGAGAAGCCAAACTGAGATGCATTCAACAAATGAAGATGTCATCCCTGAAATTATTATCAATATACAAGAAATGTTTGTCGTCAGCGGCTCTGCCGCACACACACATACAACTCAATCTCAACCGGCTGGCGGCTATGGCTTCTCACTCTCCCTCTCTCTCTCCTCTCTCTGTCTTGGATCGCTCTACCTCACTCTCTCTCTCTCTACCTCTATCCTAGATCGCTACCCTGTATACACCCTAGCTATGGAGAGTCCAAGCACCCTCTTCCTCCTCCACGCGTGAAGCGTCCAAGTTGCCTTAACGCACAAGCAGCAGCAGCGCTTCCGCATTTTGCAAAGAACAAATGATGAGCCGCTGCACTGTAGCAGCTAATTATAGGACCGGACTTGGCTTGGCCTGCTTCAGACCAGTACCGTTCGGCCGCGGCCTGTCGGCTGCAAACATTTTGTCCGTACGGCACCACCCGGACTTTCCTGTGATATGCTGCAAAATTCGACTTGGGACTGTTGCACTGGACTGGACTTTTCTTGTTGGGTACTGGACGAAGTTCTACCGACCTACGACTTTTGGGTACCGACACCTACCAACCTACGACGCTTCAGCCTACGAACCCTAAGGCATTCTTAGAGGGTACCCGTTCAAAAGGTCCACTGTGGGAGTGGTCATTCGAAACAACCCCAATAGATTGCCTTGTTCCCAGAAATGGCAAGCTAATGCTGTTCCCACTTTCCGTTTTGAAAGGGTACCAAGCCACTTTCCGTTTTGAAAGGGTACCAAGCAGTTCCAATGGCCCATTCTGGGAGTGTACTCGTTCCAACACAATACAAGTCCTCTATAGTGCATTGCAAGCTGCCACTCTTGCTTGTTGTTTCTGTGAGTCCGAAAGTCAGCCGCCTTTCATTTCCATGACGGTGAAAAGTTGAAAACCACTCCATCAGAAAAAATACAGAGAAAGTTCAACAATCCAGATGGACGGCGGTGAAGTACTGGGGTGGGAGATGGGACATGGACTGACCTGCGAAAAATGAACATTGAGGACTGGTTTGTGACTTATTGTCACCTCCTCGAATGCTGGAGCAAACAAAAGTCCCCTTTCTCTCTCTTCAGGGTACACAACAGGACTTAATTGATACCTTCCCGGTTCCACCTGCGAAGACATGCAAAAAAGCACACAGCCACAACACAGTTACTGAGTTCTCCACTATTTTCATCGCAGGGTGATGCCGGCAAAACCCAAGGATAAGAAGTCTGCACAGCACAAGCAAAGTTACATTGAACTCGAGAACAAAGAAAGCGAATGCAGGCAACAAGCTCTGAAGGACAAAAGAGACTTTACCATAGAGAGGGCCAACCAGTCACAAAGCTTCCATCTCTGAGACGACCACACAACTACCCAATAACAGTAAAACACAGTATCTGAAAACTTTCACTCCAAATCCAACAATTACACAACAGCACAAAAGTGAACTATATGCTGTGCCGCCTTTTTTTTTCGCCACTTTTTTCTATGCGGATCAATCAGCTAATCTCTGAAACAACCATCCACAACGACGCAATAACAGTAAAGCACAGGATCTGAAAACTCTCACTCAAAATCCAACAATTACACAATGGCACAACAGTGAACTACCCGCTGTGCTGCCTTTTATTTGCCTCTTTTTGAAAGTTTTTACTATCCGGATTTATCCAGCAAACCAGAGCATAGCGGATTGTTATCGACAGCAATCCCTTCCCTTCTCCACCCACTTCCCTCCCTCCCAAGCTTGAGTCACAGAATACTGCAGAGACTCTTCTACCTGGAATAGACGGAACAGAAACGTGTTCACCATAAACACAAACACCAACTTGGAAACAAAAAAAAAAAAAAAAAACTCCAAACAATAACCCCTCCATATGCTGAGCCATTAAAGCACCAGTACACACATCGGCCCGCGGGTGTCAGCATGAAACCCACACCACTTCGGGGGCCGCCAATTTTTTTTTTCAACGGCGGGCCTGACCGTGCGGCGCCTCTGAGTTTTGCTTGTGGCAACAAAATCTTTCTGCAAGGCTGGGGCCGTGTACTAGCGGTGTAAAAGGGAAAAGGGGAAGCAAAAACAACAACAACAACAACAACAACAACAACAACAACAACCGAACACAGCAGCCACATCATCAACACATCAAGACAATATCAAGCAAAGTCCCATTCTCTTTCGCTCAAAACCCAGAACCTTCTAATGGGTAAAAATAATCGAAGTTGAATGTCTCATCAACTGATGATAGCGATATCGTGAACAAAGCACTACTTGCCCTTTACCTGCGCACAGTATCTGCCATCCTTGTCCACTTCGAGCACTTGCCGGGTCTCTTGGTCTCCCATAACGACCAATTCAATTTGTCTCTGCTGAACATGTCATACACCCCATACCCACCACAGACCCACCCCTTTCTCCAGTCCAAAACTCCACCCTTCCCAACGCTATGTGACCCGCTCCATTTTCGACCCCGCCTCAACCAGATGCAACTCAGCCCGCCCTCCATTCACAATCTCAACCACAACCAACACCAACAGGGAAAAGGGCACAATTAGTCTCGACAACACACAAGCTACAGATTCACATTCACACCCAAATCGATTTGCAACCATATGAAACAGATTCATTCATACTCGCACATACATGAACAAGAACAAGTGGTATTGCAAAAAATATGAGCGAGAGCGATAGACAGAAATCCAAGTTGCAAAATCACAAAGTAGTCCAGATAGTCATGTACCAAGCAGAGAGCATAATGCACCAAGATACCATCCAAATGAGAGCAATACAATGAACTCGAGTGCCAATGTCGACGCTCTCTGGTCACACCAACACTGTGTCCAATGTTGCTCCTACTGTCTGCCGCCCAGCGCCCAGCCTACAGTACTCAGCCTATGTATCCTATCTACGTTTATGCGACTGGATCACATCAAGTTGAAATCCAATGTACGTGATGTCATCACCAATGCCGACTGCCAGTGTACACCAGGTATGTTCTCTCTCCTCCCCTCATCATACCCGGTCTCCCCTCTGCATGAGCCTCCTACCCGAAGACCACCATGGCCATCACCTGCCTGCGCCCCAGCAGCCCGACTATGGCTGCCGTGCCCCTCTGGCCCGCAGCGCCCCTCTCACCTCAGCGCCCGTTGTCGGAGGGCGCGGTGTCCCGGCCCTCCTTTGTGCGCCAAGTCCCTGATTGGTACCGGTGCTTCGGACGTGCAGTGGCTTAGTCTGTCGCCTAACTTCTACAGTAGCCCTGAGATACCGGGGTGGTGCCTTGAAATGGACCGGCCTGTAGGTGCCATCCCTCTGCAAAAGGGTGCGCCACAGGGCTTTCCTTTGGTCCACGCAGGCTCGGCGCCCTGCTGTACAGCAGAGCACTACCGGCCTGTGGTCGTGGTAGCCGCCGGGCTCGCCCTGGGACGAGACCGGCGCTGTCTTTTCTACTGCGCGCCGATCGCGCCCTAGTATTATTATTATCATTATTATTGTTATTATTATTTCGCTGATTTTCAGACGCGGGTTTTCCCTTCAGTCCCTGTCACTTCGCGAGAAGGCAAACGGTTCGAAATTCGAGCGCGGCTGCAGTCTGTGGCCCAGACTGATTTGGCCTGTCATTTTTGTACCGATGGTTGGGAGGCTCGATCGGGCGCCGCTCGGTAGGACCCCAAAAGAGGGGCGACCCGCGGCCGCATCGGTAGGAAGCTTATCACCCCTGGAGAGGGTCATAAGCCCCCTTCTTGCCATCGGACACGGGTACCCAATAGAAGCAGGCCGATGACGCGTTTTGAAGAAAGAGGGGCGACTGTCGGTATCTCGTTATGGGACCACTAAGTTGAACCCGTGGTCACTTTCATACTAAAAAAATGAAGAGGGTAGAGATTTGACAGAAAAGTGGGTCATCTGCATTATGACCGTCGCGGTTCGACTTCCTGTTTTTCTCTTTCTCTATTCCTTTTCTTCTTTTCATTTTATTCGTTTTATTAAAATTTTGGAAAAAAGACAATCTTCATAAATTGCGAAGCCTGGAAAAAGGATTTATGTTTCCCTCGTTTAGAGCACAGGGATCGTGATGAGTGGCAACCCTATAAAGAGCGAGGGTGGGCTTTTCGGTGAAGTCGTGTCTTACTCTGAGCTCAACCGATCTCGCTACGCCAAGTACTAGCGAGCTTGAAAGAGAGGGCTGGCCTGTGTGGTGAGTACGGGAGATCGTCTGAGTACTCGCCCTCGTGTCTTGAGTGTCCGGGTACGGCTATTCGGGAGCCAGTAGCTTGGTATTGGCCAGTTTCTTTGAGAAGGCAGCCATGGTGCGAAGCAGCGGGCTGTATGGCTATAGGCCGAGGTGCATCCAGTCCCTCTGTAGATGGGAGCGGATATTAGGGGATGGACCTACAGTGACGGCCGTACTAGACTACAGCTACGGTAGGCGAGAGTTGAAGCTGAAGATAAACGTAGAAGGGGGGAGAGAAGAAGAAATGAGGGTGGACCCAGATCTGCAGATGGCAATTACTGAGGCTAGGGACTGCGCAGAGAGGAGATGCAGGCCGGATGGGGTCACAGATGATCAAAAGGTGACCATATCATACCTAGTGACGGAGAGATGGACACGGTGGAGCGGGAGCCGAGGCACCTGGACCGCGACTCCGAGGCTGAGAGTGAGGCGAGCGACCTGAACGCAACGACCCAGTCCTGGCACGGACTGGACCAGTGGCGACGAGACCACCCGCCCGTCGAACGTGTAGAAAGCGGCTCTGAGGCCAGCTCGCGACGGCGGGCAAACAGGTGGTGAGCCCTCAAAGACGACGGTGCGGAGAGAGGAAACAACTCACGTACGGGAGAGAGGCCCAAGTGGTCCGTGCTGGTGAAAAGGAGGTGCTCCGAGTGCTGACGTCAACCTTGACTTCCGCGTGCGGGATGTGAAGGACGTGTGTGCGGACCAGAAGCGGGCACGGCTCAATAGAAGAGTTGAGGCCTCAGAGCAGTTAAGAGACGTGTGAGAGCGAGAAGAACAGGGGTAGTCAGACTTGGCAGAAAATCTCTCAGAACGAAGGAGAATGTTGTTGACGTCAACCCCGAGTTACAACCCTCATCTGTGACACTGCGAAGCGAAGATAACGAGGGAGGACAAGTGCTCGGAAGGGCAAGGACAGCGTTACAAAGGGAGGGCCAGAGGTCAGAAGAGAAGGTGACGCGCTCAAGGGGGCAGAGTGTTTTCAATCGAATGGCGAGAATGACACACACGGGGAGCGCGTGAGGAGACATGCGATCCCTGGCATTGCCTGCCCTTGTTCTTGCTGGCCTTAGCTCGCGGCCATCTCTGTGGCTGGGTCTGTTGTGCCGGTTATGTCTCATGACCGCGTTCGCTTGGGCTCACGAGTAAGGACAGAGAGACTAATACTACTAATTGGCATCGAAGGGGGAAGTGAGGTGGTTAGCAAGAAACTAAAAGGAGAGCAAGAGTAGAATAAATATGAGACGTGCAAGAAGAGGAAGTTTGATGACTCCACCACTGAGGTGAGAGAAGTCCACGTTTTGTCTGCACGGGCAGGCAGATATTTCGACGGCTGATTCGTCTCCCGTTTCGTGAAGATTAACCTCGATTGTCGCGTTATCCCCGTGGGCTCCCTCTTTCTCGAACACTATCACTATTGGCGCCTGTTTTCTTGGTGATAGTCGTCCCCCTCTCTTCTGTGTTGATGAGGCCGAAGAAACGACGTGACTCAGATGCGGTGTTCAAAACGATGTGACTCAGACGCGGCGTTCAAAACGATGTGACTCAGACGCGGTGTTCAGAACGATGTGACTCAGACGCAGTGTTCAGACCGAATAGGTGGCCGTGGTCAGAAGCGAGACTCGTCCTTTCCATAGCGTTATCTAGTCCTGAGGTCGACCTTGGCATACAAAAATACTGTCCCGAAGGTTTTCCTTCTCTACGCTAACAGCTATTCACAAGTGACCCACCTTCTTATTAGTGCTACCTTCTCATCCGATTGGAAGACAGGTACTCGTCGAGCTTTTGTTGCTATTCGCATGTCACCAAGCGTGATCTGACTACTTCTGTTTTACTCAGTGCGGTCTTACCTTTAATTCATGTTTATTCTTGAAGTTATTTTTAATAAGGGGGACCAAGCTTCCATAGATGGGCAGGCTGGTAGACCAATGATTGAGATTATAGCCTTCAATCTAGAGATGAGTGTGAAGACGTAAAGTCGAAAAACTCATGAGAAAGGGGGAAGGCGAAGGGTGAAAATAAGAAAGATATTGCATGTCAACAGCCAAATCAGAGGCTTGGGAAATAATTAGAAATCAGATAAGGGGATTTTGGGAAAGCTTCCATTCTACCTTCACTCGAGACTCAACCTTATTGGCCTCTGGGAACGTCCTCTCATGTACGTTGATTGGTAAGTGGTGTTTGACGCAATGTTTTGTGCCTAATTAAGACTTGCTTGATTGACGAATGAATCGCCCCTTTTGGTTGGACTTATTCTTGATGTAGCTATTAGCTGCCATTGCACTCCTCGCTAGAAGAAACATCATTGTAAATGATGTTGACTGAACCTGGCGGGCCTCGTGTTCGGTACCTAGTGTTCATTGAAGAAGCTCCAATTAAAACAGGGGGGATTAAGAATAGTCGCATTATCCGTTTATGTAACTGCCCATACTTGCCTGATGGGAAAGAGGCACGTTGTGCTCAGAAAGGTTGCATACCTGCTCGCGAAGTTCCTGATTGATGGGGATTAGTATTGTCCCCTGACAACTGTGCCTTTTCTCGAGAAAGGAATCTTCAATCAAACACGAATCTTAGAGACCTCATCAACGTACATCGAAGTTAGGGCCCTGTGATACTGCCAACATTATACCAGAGAATGCCTAAAGAGGACAATTGTGAGTTGTAGAATAGGCCCCAAAAGGTCCTAAGTAAAGACTGAGCGTAACACTGCAAAAAGAGGAACGTATAGCTTGAGTCTGAATCCCACTCAAAATTGCGTTAGTGTCCGGGTCAACTTGCAACTCAGCCTGTCGTCGGCATTGCCATGCTACTGAACTCGGGGGCTCGAAGGACCAAATAATATACTTTATGGAAATTACCGGACGCCCATCCCCACCAGTGGTTCTCTGCGAACTGAACGAGTGTCGTCCCCTGTGTTGAATCAAGGTTCTAAATTCGCCCGACATTTGTCACTTCTCATTATCAATTAACCATTAGCGACCCTTTACTTGGTTAGTCCAATTTAGGCAGCAGGAAGTTAGCCTGAATCCCACTAAGTACTCTGCTTTGATTGTAAGTGGGAGTTGTATGAGTTCACGAGGTCACGGGATGCGCGATTAAATTGTGCATGGTGTGAATGCCTCTTGATGCTTAGGCAAA